TCTTCTCCTTCGGTGTTCATTACTTTGTGTTTATGTGCAGATATCCATAAATGCAGTCTTCCTTTGGATTGGGTACATCAAAATGCTTATGATCATTGATTTCTTATGGCCATTTGTCATCTGTAAGGATGAAGGAGACCTTACCCCAGCAAACATCCAGTTCATATAGTTGTTAAATACTTTTATTTTTTTTACAACCTAACTGCTATTTCCCCTCCCCCCACCCCGCACCGTCTCCCCTCTGCACCAGCCCACATCTACTCCTCCTCCATTTCTATTTAGAGGAGGGCCCCTCCCATGGCATATCAAGTTGAAGGCTGAATGAGGCAACCCAGTATGAGGAAAAGGGACCCTACACCAGCAAAAGAGTCAGAGGCAGCCCCTGCTCCCTCTGTTAGAAGTCCCAGAAGAAGACCAAGCTACACAACTGTAACATATATGCAGAGGGGCTAGGTCAGTCCCATGCAGGCTCCCTGGTTGTTGGTTCAGTCTCTGTGAGTCCCTAGGAGCCCAGGTTAGTTGATTCAGTAGGTTTTCTTATGGTGTCCTTGACTCCTCAGGCGCCTACAATCCCTTCTTCAGGATTCCCAAGCTCTGCCTAATGTTTGGCTGTGGGTCTGCATATGTTTCCACTGGTTGCTGGATAAAGTTTCTCTTTCAGTAAGCTTGTAATGGCTAGTATTAAATGTAGCTACATATGCCAGAGAACCTAACGATGGAGTTTTTGCACGTAAAACCTGGGGTCCAGGAGCTCTTCTGTCTTGCTAAGGATGTTCTGCCCTTAATGTACCCTTGTGGTTTAACACAGGTATCCACACTCCAGCTTTCATAGCTTTATTCCAACCTGTTTGAAGAAGAAATAGGGAAGAAGCTGCATATGAAGCTGAGCACAGTGGCACAGACTTGTAATCCCAGTCCTCAGAAGGCTTAGACAAGGATTATGAGTTTGGGGCCAGCCTGGGCTATGTAGCAAAACCCCAAATCAGAAAAAAAAAATTGTTGTATTCTTTTATTTAAGATCATTTTCTCTAAATTGCGCTCGATTATCTCCACCACCACCCACCCCACCCCACCCTGCCCCTTGCCATGGTTTGGGTACTGAATCCAGGGACTCACACCCCTAGACAGATGCCAAACAGCAGCTCCATCCCTTGCCCTGCATACAATGGATCTCAATTCCCTCCATTTTCCAGAAATTCAGTGGCTCAACTTAGCTGCAAAGTAGCCTGGGAGATAATATCCAGCTAAACTGTCAGTGGTTCTATTGTTACAAAATAAAGGGGAAACTGGGTACTGAAGATAACTAGTAGTCTTTTTCTAAGAAATACTACAGTGGCCATTTAACTCTGTCAGCCAAAATAAGGGCCTTTGGCATAGCCAGTCAGCCTGTTGCTTCAGTGGCCTGTTCTTTTTCTTTGCAGCTCACACTTGCAACTTACACCCTAATAAGTTATTAGGCTTCAACTCATCCTGTGTCCTTCCTGAGTGGCTGTGGTCTGTTCTTACATGTGAGCCACCATCACTGGGCTCCTAGAGCTCTTAAAGTGGAAACCTTTATGCCTTGGGTGTCTCCTCACTTCAAATCATGTTCTATCCTTGTTCCTAAACGTTGGTTACTGGTTCTCTGGTGTTGCTGCACTGTGGCAGTATCTAGACTTTTAACCTTCCTGAGAATCTTAGCTGCTCCAACCAAGGAATATATTGCTGGATATGTTTTATTCAGTCCAGGGTTCTGCATACCATTACCCTTCCGTGATCCCCAGTGGTCCCAGGAGCTGGCTATCAAAGCCTTTTCCTGTAGTTTGCTAGCAATCATTCCATGGGCTCATTTGTACTTCATTAAGTATTCCCTGTACAGTGTCTTAGTGCTATGTGATTCTCCAGTGAGCTGCTGTCTCCTCAAGCTTGCTTCCTGCTTCAGTGACTCAGAGCATTAGCCATGGCCTCCATAGACCCTTTCCCAAGGAAGTTAGTTGAATCCAGATAGATTCATTTTCTATGTAATAGAGAGGGGGCTGGGCATCTAGAGCCAGGCTCAGTCCAGGAGGCCATGATGGCCCTGGTGTTTGGGGAAAGTTTTCAATGTACAGTGCTCTGCTACATCTGGCTTTGCCTTCACCCTTGGCCTGCTAGCCGGAAAGTAGTCTGAGGAGTCCTGAAAAGTCCCTAGTTCAGTGTGAGTTTTCTCAAAGAGTAAGCCTCAGCTAAAAAAGGGCTAGAAATAGGTAATTGTAGAAAAGTCATGGCAGGTACAAGGTTCTATTGTATCATTGTCTCTACTTTCATTTGAAATTTTCCCTAATTAAAAACTTATTTTTTTTTTTAATGAGGCTATTTGGGGCTCAGCAGTTAAGAGTGCTCCCTGCTTTTCCAGGGGCCTGAGTTTCCCAGCTCATGACGCTTGCAACTACAGCTCCAGGGGACCCAGCACCCTCCTTTGGTGTTTTTGGGTATCTGTCTACAGGTGGCATACATTCACATAAACACGCACTTAGCACTCGCTAATTTAAGTAATTTAATAACTATTTAAGGAGCATGATCACGGTATCACATTTCCATGTCCTTTCCAGCAACAAAATAACTCCTATGCAGAATTCTTTTGGCGTGTAAAACTACAATGTTGGCCTGCTGTGGTTAGAGAGGGAACAGGAGGCCCTTCGTCTAGTGGTTTCACCCCACTCCTCTGGGCTCTGCTAAGGAAATCCCAGCCTCTCCTGACCACTCCCCCCCTCTGCCCCGTCCCCCCTCGTGCTTTGTACCCGGAACACCCATCATCCCAGATGCCTTGCTGTGTCTAGGATCCTCACTATGCCAGCCTGCTCTCTCAAACATTCCCATCAACATCCTCACGTGCCTTAGTGTTTCTTTAAAATAAGAACAAAAATCCCTCCCTTGATTTCATGTCATCTCAGCCACACCCACCCACTCACCTCTGGCCCTGTTCCCTGTCCCCCTTAATGTTCAAGCCTTGAAGGAGCCATCTGGATTTGCAATGTCCACTTGCTCATTCCTCAGCACTTGCTCTGTGTAAGGGGCCCATAGCACTGATCTGTCAAGGTCACAACCTGTGGTTCTTCGTGGGCCCCAGCCATAAATTCTATCATTCTCCACCACCTTTCCTTTGTCTCCTCCATAGCCAGAGCTCTCTCAGTTTGATCTCAAATCCATTTTCTCTTCCCTCTCCCACACATTCCCACCTTCTCTGGGTATCCCACACTGGCTGGATTGTTATAATCATTTTCTTGTTTGTTTGAAATTCACAGTACTGGGGATATGACCCAGACCCTTATACATGCTAGGCAAACACTACCACTGAGCTACAACCCAGCCATATTAGCTTTTTATTTCTGCTTTCGGTCTTCTCCATTCATTCCTTACCCAGCAGCCAGATGGTCTTTTGAAGTGTGTGTTCTATCTTACCATTGCAATCTTTAAGTCCTGCCAGGTTTGTTACCTGGCTGGCAAAGCCCTGTGTGGACATCCATTTCCCATCACACCTGCTTTCTTTGGCCCTCCCTTCTCACATGCCCAGGCAAACTGGCGTCCTTTTGACCTTTGGGGGCACCCATCTCTGCCAGTCTCAGCGTACTGACCTCAGCATTCCCCAGGGACCACATCTGAACGAGTTCTCTTACACTTCAAACACTGTTCATTAAATGATCAGAGACCTAAGCAAGAGTTGCCACAGGAGCTAGCTGCTTGTAGGTAGTAACAGAAAATTGCCTGTGGTAACAACTGCAAGCTGCTCCTGTATATTTTGGTGACAGCAGGCTGGGGTTAAAAGGAAGAGTTAGGGTGAAAATGGTAGAATCTGAAGCACTGATGAAGATGAGTGGAAAGGCTTGTAGTTGGGTACGAGATAGCCAAGCTAGACAGCAGGACAAACAGGGTTCTGGGCCAGCGATCGCAGGCCAGCTGGCACCTGCCATATCCTTGAGGAGGATATGTAGGGCACTGGTGTCCTTTCATACACCCCTGCTTCTAATGTAGTTAGTTGTAATAGATTTAATCGTAAGTAAGGATGGTCACTAACAAAGTTTCTGCCTAGGAGACCACTGTATACAAAGCTAAAAATGAGGTAACCAAGAAAGACCTTCAGCTGATCTTGGTGGCTGGAATGGGGGGAAAGGAGGTTGAAATGGATGGACCATACAGTATCTGGTGATTTGGTGAAAAGCAGCTGACTGAAAAAGCACATGCAGCTACAAAAATATTCTGGGATTCTCCCAAGGGTTTCCCCTGCAAATGCCTCAGTGTTCAAATTTCAATCCAAATACAAGATGAGCATCCATCATCTTGAAATCTGAATTCTGAAATACTCCCCAAAGAAAGATTTAAAAATATGCTAATATTTCAAAATCCCATATCTCTACACTTTGAAACCCACCTCAGGCATTTCAGGCAGGAGATGCTCAGCCTGTATCCCCTGTTCAGAGGCTCTCCCTCCCCTACCTGCTTAGGTAGCTTCTCCCTCCACCACCTTGTCCCATCACTCAGCCCTGTTTTCTTTACAGCTCTCCCCATCATTTGGAACTGCTCATCTGCCTTCTAGTGTGTAGCTTCTGATTCCTTTGATACCTTTGAAACCTTCTGGCATGAGTTTTGTTTTTAAACTGTGCTTTTGGAAATATGACCCAACACCTATTAATGTAAACCATGATTACTTAACAAAATTTGGGAGTAGAACTTTTTAGCTAAGGTGATCATTATCGTCCTCATTAAGATTGTTTCTCCAGGGACTGGAGAGATGGCTCAGTGCTTAAGAGCTCCGTCTGCTCCTCCAGAGGACCTGAGTCTGAGTCCCAGCACCGGCATGGCAGCTCACAAACATCTGTACCTCCAGTTCCAGGGGACCTGATGCCCCCTTCCAACCCCCAGGCACCAGAGACAGATTTGCATGCAGGCAAAACACCCATACACATAAAATAGTAAAATTAAAAAATATCGACTATCCAGGGGGGGAAGAAAACAGAGAGAGATGTGTTCTTTTTATCTTTTAGGTAAAAGAGCCTCCTGAAATCAATTTAGTTCTGTACCCTCAGGGCCTAACTGGTGAAGAAGTGTACGTGAAGTTGGACCTGAGGGTCAAGTGCCCACCAACATACCCAGATGTGTGAGTACCTTTATAAGTAGCTTTGATGTCGTTTCAGTTTTAACAACATTGAAACATTACAGTTAGAAATATTTTCTCTTTCCTTCTGTCTTCCTGTCATCTGTATTTCTATAACACTACATCAGCCCTCGCCATTCTCACAAAAGCTGTCTTAAGTCTGCTTGTAGTTGTGGAATACTTGTTATGTATACTGATGTTTGCTCATTGACTAGCTTTTTTGCGTTTGCCATTTTAATGTTTCTTTAATTCTAGGACTCTAGAAAGAAGGGAGATCTAGATGCTTGGGATAAAGGTGTGGCAAGCTAATAAGCACCTCCTTCATAGCTATTGGAAATGAGGTGGCCTTCTGCTCTGCCTGGAATAGAGAGGAAGGGATGGTTGGAGCTGCTGTTTTTCTCAGTGGAGCAGCATGAGCCTGACCAGATGGCACAGGGTTGTCCCTTATGCTCCAGGACTGTTCCAGTAATACAGACCTTGACTATCCCAGTCACCCACCACCACAAACTTTGCATAGTCATAAACACCCAGGCAGGTGATATCACCGCCCAAACAAAAGCCTGAGCCATCAGGCCTCAATGGGCTCTTCTGTAAATGTTCTCCAGATCCTCCACATTGGCTGAGATGGTGTCAGGCAGATCTAACTTACTGTGCAGGAACACGTGAGGGGTTTTAAGGAGAGTGGCAATTGAAAGGCAGTGCTGCTTTCCACAGTGGGTGGAACATGAGTGGAGTCTATGATCTTAACACATGGTGAAGAATCTGTAGGCAGGTCAAGTCTGACTGAAGTCAGTAACTTGTGAGCTTCCAGCAGTGTTGAGGGAGCATGTGGGAGTTAATTCATAAGAAAATAATTGGGATTATGAAATAAAACTAAGATGGGGCTCTCTGGTTTGTGTGTGTGTGTGTGTGTGTGTGTGTGTTGTGTGTGTGTGTGTGTGTGTGTGTGTGTGTGTGTGTGTCTCATGACATGGTGTACATGGTACTGACACTGTCTGTTTGTACATATTGCTCAGGTCAAGGGCTCACTTTCTCACAACAGTTCTTGCTTAAATGTCAGGTTTGGGGATTCCCACAACCTCCTCAGATTTGGTAACTTGCTAGAATGACTCACAGAGCTCAGGAAAACTAATTTGCTGGTTTGTTGTAAAGGATTTGATCTAAAACAGCCAAATAAGGAAGCATAGGGACAGAGCATAGAGAAGGGCATGGAGTTGTATGTCCTTTCCAGGCTGCCATCCTCAGCACCTCTATGTGTTCAGCAGCTCGCTGCTTCCTTGAACCCTGCTGTTCATGAGAGCTGGGGAGGTTTTGCACTATAGGCATGACTGAGAAGTAGTAGCTAAGTCACTGGCCATTGGTTATTGAGCTCAGTCTCCAGGAACACCCTCATCAAAGGTCTGGGGTATGGTTGGAATGCCTCATCCCATAGTCAAGGCTTGAGCTATCTGTAACTATCTCCATCCTGACACTGTGCAGGTGCCCAACAATAGTTAACCTTGCCTCATAATCTCTGGTTTGGTTGAAAAGGGTTTGTGATGAAGAATGTAAGATGCTCCCTTGAGATCTCTCACTCAGGGAATTCCAAGGGTAATGGGGCCTCTAAGCCAGAAACTGTGGCTAAAGATCGCTGGTAACATATTCTTTATTGTACCATAGATTCAAGCAATCAAATGTTTGTTCTTAAAAAGTCAACATGAAAAGCCCAGGTATATGAGTACTAAAGTACTAATTATAGCATAATTTCTGAAAGTAAATAGACTAGAGACAGGCAGGAGGTTCATGCCTCTGATCCCAGTATTTGAGAAGTTGAGTCCAGAAGATTGTGAGTTCGAGGCCACAAAAGAGAACACTAGAGCCCAATTTCTTGCTTTGCAGCTACTGATATGTTTAACAGGAAGATCTTTGAGCTATCCTATGTATGATAGGAAGTTGAGTCTTAATCCTGACTTGTCTGCCAAACACCCCATCCCTGGGTTGTGATAACCGAAAAGTCTCCAGTTATTGATAAATGTTTCCTGGGAAACTAAAACTGCCCTAATTGAAAATATACTAACTCCAAAAAAATCTTCAGATAGATTATATGTTCATTTGATACAAACATGGGATGACTTTTTAAAACAACATAGAAATGCTAAGAAATTAGAAAGTTAAAAAAGTAATATCAATAACACAAAATTATTACTAACATGTCAAGGACATAAAAGATTAAAGTTTAATTGATATAGTACATGACTGTTTGGTTCTGTTAATATTGCTATATAGATTTTTTTTGAGACAAGGTTTTATTGTGTAGCCTTGACTGGCTTGGAACACAGTATACTGATCACACTGGCCTCAAATTCACAGAGATCTACCCAACTCTGCCTTCCAAGTGTTGGGACTAAAGGTGTACACTCTCATACCTGGCCAAAAAAATTATGTAGGACAGGAAAGCTGGAGAAATGGCTCAGTGATTAAGCACACAGGCCGCTCTTGCAGAGGACCCAGGTTCAAGTCCCAGCACCCACATAGTGGTTCACAACTGTCTGTAAGTCTAGTTCTAAGGGATCTGTACTGGCTGGTTTTGTGTGTCAGCTTGACACAAGCTAGAGTCATCAGAGAGGAAGATGCCTCAGTTGAAGAAATGCCTCCAGCTGTAAGGCATTTTCTTAGTTAGTGATCAATGAGGGAGGGCCCAGCCCTTGGTCGGTGATGCCATCCCTGGGCTGGTGGTCCTGGGTTCTATAAGAAAGCTGGGCAGTAAGCAGCACCCCTCCATGATGTCTGCATCAGCTCCTGCCTCCAGGATCTTTGCCCTGTTTGAGCTCCTGTTCTTGACTTTTTCAGTGATACACAGCAATGTGGAAGTGTAAGCCAAATAAACTCTTTCCTCCCCAACTTGCTTTTCAGTCATGGCATTTCATCACAGCAGTAGAAATTCTAACTGATACCCTCTTCTGGGTGCACAGACATACATGCCAGAAAACAACCATCCATACACACAGAATAAAAATAGATAATTTTTTGAATTATGTAAGTGCCAGAGAGATAAATCAGTAAAGTGCTTACTGTGTAAGCACAGGGACCTGGATTTGATCCCCAACAAGCATGTAAAAAGCTGAATGTGATGGTGTACCTAGTACTCCCAAAGCTGATGATACCTGGGGCTTGGTGATCCAGCTGGCCTAGCCTTATGAGTGAGTACCATGTCCCAGTGATAGATTCTGTCTTCAAAAAATAAGGTAGATAGCTGCTAGAAGCAACACCTAATGTTGACCTCTGTCCTCTACATGCACAGGAACACATGTGCACATGCGCAAAGACACTCGGAGAAACAATTATTTAAGACATGATTCTGGAGCTGTTCTGGTCTTCTTTTTTTTTTTTCTTTTCTTTTTTTTTTTTCTGGTTTTTCGAGACAAGGTTTCTCTGTGTAGCTTTGTAGACCAGGCTAGCCTCAAACTCACAGAGCTCTGCTCTGCTTCCTGAGTGCTAGGACTAAAGGTGTTTGCCACCATTGCCCGGCTTGTTCTGGTCCTTTTTAAGTAATGTGACATAAGAGAATGCTGATTTAGGCACAGTAATCCTTGATGCCTCCATGAGAGAGAACCCTGGGTATGATAGGCTATGCAGACTCAAAGCAATTCGGTATTACTAAGCTTTTCTTGAAATATAAACCAGATCTCCCAGATTTCATCTGTCCAGGCAGATAACGATTGTAGCATCCTGTCCCACAGGGTGGGATTGAAGCACTGAGAGAACACACAGGTAGGTGAATAATACTGAGGAAGGCTTCACCAAGGTAAAATGCCAGGAACCACTTAGAAATGCCTAACAGGAAGTGATGAATCACTTTCTCATTGAGAAAACTACATACATTCTGTTTAATCCCAGAGAGCTATTAATGGATGTTTTTTGGTTAGGAATAAAAGGAAACCCTAAGGCTGACTGTGTAATTTCCTTGAGTTTAAAGTATTTTCTTAAATGAGCTCTGAGGGATGAAACAGCAAGCAAACCAGGCCTCCTGGGAATAGGCTGGGATTATGTGATGTACCACACACACACACTCACACTCACACTCATACACACTCTCACACTCACACACACACACACACACACACACAGAGAGAGAGAGAGAGAGAGAGAGAGAGAGAGAGAGAGAGCATGCCCTCCTTATTTATACTCAGAGTGAGTGAAAGGAGCAGCCCATTGTGAGAATCCTAGAAAGATCATGAAGGCTGCTCTCACCTGGCATTCTTCACGTGCTTCCTGCTGGAGCCCAAGGATGTGCAGAGCACTAGACTGACCGTGGGTCCAAGTCAAGGTCAAGAATTACCATATAGAGGAGCACACAGTCAAGACACCAGCCAGACAAGGAGCAGGAAGGATTTTTATGTAGGGCATTAGAGGCAGAGGCTGTAACTGATGTTGGGACATTTGAATGAATTCATTAAATTGGTATCATCTAGGTGGGGTCTAGCTGGGCCTGCCCACTTCTCCATAGGGTTTAGGCCTCTCCGTGCTGAGCACTGTGTCCGCTGGAGTTGTTGGGATATAGTTTAAGGCCTTCTGAGATTAAAGGGATACATGGCAGGGCACGAGGAGAGGTTCAGCCGAGAGGTTGATACATATAGTACAGGTGCTTAGGTTTGCTGGGAACCTAGCAGATCTTAATGTGAGCAGACTTCCTTCTCAGGTAACTCCTTTCTGTGTTTTGTTTTTCAGAGTTCCGGAAATAGAGTTAAAGAATGCTAAAGGTCTGTCAAATGAAAGTGTTAATTTGTTAAAATCACACCTTGAAGAACTGGCCAAAAAGCAGTGTGGGGAGGTAAGGCTTGCCAAGCTGGAACTATGGGAATAATACAGAATTCACCCTCTACTCAGTCTGCCCCAGTAAAACATTTACAGCTCTAAGTATAGGGGTATAGCCACCATCCCGACAGCAATGTAGTCAAGATATAGGCTAATTCCATCTCCACAATGATCCCTCACGATGCCCTTCTTAGCCTCTTCTCTATTCTACTTCCCTGTCTCTCCTGTGAGCCTGAGAGCCACTAATCTGTTCTCTGTTTCTATAACCTCGTTTTGGAGGTGTTTCATACAGTATGCAGCCTTTTGAGATTGGCATCTTTTCACACAGTACAGTTCTCTGAAGAGTTCTCCAAGTGGTTAGATGTATCAGTAACTGTTAGATTTTATTGCTGAGTAGTATTCCAGCAACATGTTCCTTTATTTATAAGCTGAAACACCTAAGTTTTCTTGTGTAACTATAATGAAGTTACTATAATATTCCTACATATGTTCTTCAAGCTATAAGGAAAAGCCCATCATAAGTGAAAGATGTATTTTCTGTACTTACCTCACTAAATGTCAAAACTTAGTAACACAGTTCCCTAGAGAGTATCAGTTGCTTCCCTTGGCCAGGGAAGCAATTTACCTGGCTGCTACACCCACATCACCACTATCATCCCACAGATAGCTGGTCTAGGAGGTCAAAGTGCAATGCAGGGTCATTCAGCCTTAAATGGAAAGGGAGTTTTGGCATCCACCACAACATGGTACAACCTTAAGGACATTGTAATGAGGGAACTAAGCTGGTGTAGTAAGACCACTATACCTGATACTATGAAATCAAATTCACAGAGGCAGAAAGAATGGTGGGTGCCAGGGCTAGGAGAGCAAGGAATGGGAAGTTTGGGAGCAGTTTCAGTTTGGAAAGTACTGGAAATAGATGACAGCTGTGGTTGAAGATCATGATTACCTGGCATTTTTACTGCATGTGTTAAGTGGTGGACAGTATGCTGCTGGAGCCTTCCCCACAAACTGCAAAAAACTGACAGTGAGACATCTTCACAGGGTTAGATTTGAGGACATAAGGTGTGGGACTGTGCTGTGCAGAGGTGTCTTGTTTGTCTAAAGTTTGTTTCCATGGGTCTGAAGTCCTAGCAGTTGAAAATTCAATTCTGAAAAAACTGTTTTTGTTTTCAAATAAAATGGAATATAGATAAATGTTAGTACAAGCTTAGGAACTCATGGAGGTGGGGCATTGCCTCATAACCAGCTGTTCAAATGAATCATTTCATTCTTAGCAGCACCAAAAACAATGCTCAGGAACATTCCCATTTGCCTTGGAGTGATGGCTTGTGGGAGGTAAGGTGACAGGGTCGCACTGTATAGCTCTGATTGTCCTGGATCAGATGTGTGTGCCAACATGCTCAACCCCCCCCACCCCCAACAAGGATGTTTTGTTGTGGTGGTTGGTTGGTTGGTTGGTTGGTTGGTTTTTTGAAACAGGTTCTCTCTCACTATGTGTCCCTGGCTGTCCTGAACTCACTATAGAAACCAGACTGGCCTCAAACTCAGAGAGATTTGCCTCCTAAGTGCTGGAATTAGTCAAGGTGTGCACTACCACGCCTGGTTGTATGTTAGTAGATCTTTATCAGTCCTGGAAAGTAGTCCAAAATGTAGCAGATTCTATTTTTTTAATTAGTAAAATCAAACTCATGGGTTCCACGAGACAACAGGTGTTTGCCACCTGTCCATCTTGTGCTGAAACTGGCTGGTTCTGGGGAGGCTACAGTGAAGGAACCATTTGGCTTCACTGTGAGGAGCACAGACAAAGCACGGTCTAAGGACCATGCAGATTGGAGACACTAATGCTCTGGGGAATTATGGTGATGGGTCCAGAGTGGAAGGAGGGCAGGAGAAGCCCCTAAGCAGAGTCTGAGGCAAGTCCTGAACCATCTGATGGGCAGGAGAGGGGTATAGCATAAGAGCCACTTTGGAATATGGTTGCTTTCATCCAGTCCTACAAACTATCAGGCTTCACTTGTTCAGAAAACGCTAGGAAGTTAAATCAGTGAAAGCAAACTTTTGACAGCTGTGGTCCTGCCTCTTTCTGCTTTAGAAATGGTTTCTCAAAGTGGTAGGAATTGCCTGCTTTTCCCAGACTTCCTTAGTCTTGTCTTAGCACTTGCCTCTTAGAATCTAGACTGGCACTTCTCAACTCTAGGTCAAGACATACTCATCAAACACCACAGCTTCTGGTAAAACAAAAACTAAATCAACTCCACCAGCAAAGGCTGGTGGAACACTCCCTCCCTGGAAGGCGGGATGCCAATGAATGGACTCTCAATCCTCCTAAGGGACTGTGTTACCAACACTCAGGCCCCTTTAGAAGAAGCATGAAGAAATAAGACATTTAAAACGCTCTCTGAGCCGGGTGTTGGTGGCGCACGCCTTTAATTCCAGCACTTGGGAGGCAGAGGCAGGTGGATCTCTGTGAGTTCGAGGCCAGCCTGGTCTCCAGAGAGAGTATCAGGATAGGCTCCAAAGCTACAGAGAAACCCTGTCTCGAAAAACCAAAAAAAAAAAAAAAAAAAAAAAACAACCACAAAACAAAACAAAACGCTCTCTGATAATTGTGGGGCAAGAACCTCAGGGCCACATTCCTCAATTGACAGGAGTAGCTTGGCCACTGTACCCTGGGCTGGGTGCCAGTCGGTGTGGTCATGGAACCCCTTGTGCTATTGACTTCCCATCCCAGGTATGGCTTTTGGCTTGGCCTAGAGGTTAGAGCGGCTTTTTCTGTCCCCTTTCCTGCCTGAGTCTGGCTGACTCTTGAGGTGTTGATCAGCCTCCTGCTGGTTCATTGCCAGAAGGGAGGAAGTGAGGGCTTTATAAACTTGCTTTTGGGCCTCTGATCAGTGTGCTGTGTGAACAAGTGACAGTGCTGATGCTCCTGGGAGCATTCTGCCCAGCTGTCATGGAAACAGGCTTTCCACTTGGGAAGACAGCCATCCCCTGTCTGCAGTCTTAGATATCTATTTTTCAGCTTTATTTATACAGATGTTTAGGGGAATGACAGTAAATTTGAGTAGGTCTAACACACACACACACACACACACACACACACACACACACACACAAGAGAAGAAGCTTTTTATTTATCTAAGTAGCAATTAATCTTGATCACAGACTCAGTGAACCCTTTCAAAGCTTTTCCTGCTGTCATTGTGTCATCTACCTAATTCCAAACATGTCAGAGCAAAGGGAATGCTGGCATGGCAGGTGTCAGTCTGATTGCCTGCTGATCGTGTTGCTGGGTGGCCCTGCCCTGTGCCATCATCTAATCATTTGTGGTTGTTTTTTGTTTACATGTGTAGGTGATGATATTTGAGCTGGCACACCATGTGCAGTCATTTCTCAGTGAGCATAACAAGCCCCCTCCAAAGTCTTTCCATGAAGAAATGCTGGAGAGGCAGGCTCAGGAGAAAGAGCAGAGGTTGCTAGAGGCCAGACGGAAGGAGGAACAGGAGGTAAGAAATGGCTATGGGTGCTGCTCGGCCTGGAGGCCTGCAGGCATCCATGTATCTTCCATCTCTGCCTATGAATGTGTCTGTGAGTTTTGCTTGGCATTTGATTGAAGAAATATGCATTTATGTGAGAGAAATCCCTACGAGTTCATTGGAAAGACACATTACACAGCTCCTCCCTGAAGCCATCTCTGCTGCCCTTAGAGCCCTTCTCCAGGACTGAGAGAAAGGGGGTGTGACTGGGCTTCCTGCCAAGCTGTACAGGAGTTCCTTGGATCTGGAGGCTTTTCCTCTTGACTGTGAGACGTGTCTAATGTCCAGTGAGCAGAAGAGCCAGGGTTAAACTGACTTTCATGTTTACTAAGCATCTCTATTCTTCCTTTAGTCTGTCTTAAGCAGGAACTGTTTCCCGGCTCTAAAATCCTTTAAGTTGAAGATGGTTTATAACCTGGATTTCCTTCTTGATTTTAATTTAAATTGTTTTCTGTTTATCCAATCAATCGACTTACTGAGAACTTAAGTGGGTACAGTTGGATTTTTCTGTCCTCACCAGACTTTTTGGTTTTTCGAGACAGGGTTTCTCTGTGTAGCTTTGGAGCCTATCCTGGCACTCGCTCTGGAGACCAGGCTGGCCTCAAACTCACAGAGACCCCCCTGCCTCTGCCTCCCGAGTGCTGGGATTAAAGGCGTACGCCGCCACTGCCCAGCTGAATTAACCCCATTTCTATTCATCTATGTGCTGCTATGTGATTTGTGACATTTATCTGTCCTCCTGCATATCTTGCTCCTTCTCTGACTGGCTAGTGACTCTGTTCTCTCTGCTACCCTCCCTCATCTCTCCCTTTCTCCATTCTCTGGCATCCTTCCTCTTCCAAAGTAGCCCCTTTCTGTTTCTAGGCGCCTGTGCCCAGTTCTTGTTTCTTCATTGTTTCCGCTATCCTGTGCTGTTATCACTGAGCAAACCTACCCTTCTACATCCTTTATCTTCTGTTGAGATGGATCTCATCCACTGTTGCTTAGCTCCTACTAAAGTGTGTCTGGTCACATATTTGCTCATCATTAGAAGCTAGTGGGATTTAACAGTCTTTTTGGTGTACTGCTGTAGCTACCTGTAAGTATAGGTTATGTTCCCACATTTTGTATCATTGCTATTAATGTTTCTGATGACTTCCTTAATAGTTTTGATACAATTTAGAGTTGTGGGGAACTAAGAAAAATTGATGAAGATCAAAATACTGGTTTTAATACTTAAAGGGGTGATGGACAAGACAGATTAAGATTAAGGTCATAGAAGATAGACATGGTACCTGGGCCTTCACCCCAGCCCCAAGGCAGAGAGCAGCGCTGGTACCCGGTACCTGCACACAGGCAGATGACAATGCTGACTTAAGGCTGCTTCCCAAGAATGTTGGCAGCACAAATGAGGTGTGGCTCCTCTAAGCTCATTGTGTGGATCTCAGGAGACAAGGACTTTGGGTCGTGGGAATTCAAAAGCTATGTGATTCCTGAGTTTACCTGTTGTGTACGTTTTAGAGATTGGTGTCTGACCTGGTCTGTTTTATTTCAGCAACAGGAAATTCTCCACGAGATTCAGAGAAGGAAAGAGGAGATCAAAGAGGAGAAGAAAAGGAAGGAAATGGCTAAGCAGGTGCTGGCCATTACTGTGCCGAGGGTTTTGCACTTCCTCCTATAAAATGTCTGTATTTCCATTGAAGGCACTTTTCTATCCTGTGCTAAAATTTAAAACACAAAAACTTTCATCTGTTATATTTTCTGGCTGTTTGTTTGTATGTTTTGTTTTCTTATTTGTGGTAGAAGGGCTTGAGACAGGATCTTACTATGTATCCTAGGCTGGCTTTGAATTCATAATATTTTATAGGCTATCCTTATACTCATAGCAATTCTTCTGCCTCAGCACTCCTAGCCCTGAGAGCACGTACATAAGCACTGCGGTGTTTATTATGTATTTTTAGATTTCCCAAATAGGTGATAAAATTCAGTGTTGTATATCGTCTGTAAATGACTTCAGTTTACATAATTACAGCAATTTATCAAATGAGTCCAAAGAGAGGGCATTGGAATTTTGTTAATTAGCTTGGAATAGAATTTTTATTAACAAACAAAAGTTTGTTCTTATAAAGAGTGAATGAAACCTTACACGCCTGCCTGAAACTTAATTTGGTGCTGGAATGCTTTCCTAGCAGATTTAAAAAGAACAAACTGCTGATGTGATGGGGGCACTCCTCACTGTCCTTCAGGTATTTTGCTGGAAGGTTCCCATGCAGCAGGGATCTTATTTAAGCTTTTATTGTTCTGCTGCCTGTTGTGACTTTAGACACTCTTTTGTGACTGTCTTTTCTCATCTTAAAGACAAAGGGACTGTAATGAGGTCACCCTTGGGTAAAGATGCATCCAAATCTGATTTTCTGTTGCCTCTGGACTACCTCCCAGCAGCCATTCTTTTTTTGAACTACCAGTCTCTGATCCTCTCCTCTAGCTCTATCTCCCTGACTTTCTAAACAGAGTCTAAGCTCTTCCACATATAAAAGTCTCATTCTCTGAAAGCTGTGACCTGGTCTTCACTTGATGATCCAGGGTCAGCTGGAGGGATGCACTCTGTTGGATATATACACTCCAAATTGTGTGGATATGTGGAGGCTGGGTCAACTTCGCTTTCTCAATTGTTTGCCACCTTTTTTTTTTTTTAATAAGTAGTGTATTTTGCATGCACACATGTCCATGTGCCACAAGTATGCAGTTCCTGAGGAGGCTAGAAGAGGGCATCAGATCCCCTGGGATTAGAGTTACAGACAGTTATGAGTTGCCATATGGGTGCTGAGAATCTAACCCAGATCCTCTGGAAGAGCAGCCAGTGCTCTTAACCTCTAGCTGTCTCTCCAGCCCCCTCAGCCTTATTTTTTGAGGCAGGGTCTCTTACTGAACTTAGCTCACTGATTGTCTAGACTGGCTAGCCAGTAAGCCTCCAGGATCCTCCTGTTTCTGCCTCTCTGCCTCCCTGGTGGCACACACCACCATATCCTGTTCCTTGTGCTTGCTTGTACAGCTAGTGTCCCTGCCCCCTGCACATTTTTAAGTTGAGTCTGTTACACTGTAAACTGTGATAGTTGGCTGTAATTGTCAACCCAACAACCTGGAACCACTAGGAAGAAAGTTTTATGAGAGAATGTTTATATTATGTTAAGCCTGGGGGTGGGAGGCTGGATTGCCAAAGATCTAGCCTACTGTAGGGACATAATTCCCTGGTTTTGGTCCCTGAGCTGTATTGTTAATCCCAATGGGGAGAATAAGACCATCATTTGAGCCAAATTTGAAGCAAGCTTGGTTTTTATTGGGGTATACCCAAGAGCTGGCCAGCTTGGGTTAAAGAGAGCATCCCCAAATCTACCTCTTGGGCTCCTTTTAAGGAGTAAAATCACGAGTAGTTTACAGAAGGTAGACAATGGGGCAATAAGGAAATTTTTAAAAATTTTTCAAAAAATCATATGGTCACTGGTGTACAGAGCTAGTTCCAGGACAGCCAGGGCTGATACAAAGAGAAACACTGCCTTAAAAAAGATAATAATAACAAACAAACAAAAAACCAATCATGTGGTCACCCACCATATGATTAGGAGGGATCAGGAAGGGTCAGGGTATTCTCAAAAGCAAATCCAGGTCATGGGTTGGGAAAGGTCAGATCCCAGAAAATAGAGCAACTCAGCTCTCACAGTAAATAGAAACTCATTTTTAAAATACAGCATAATGCCTCCTGCCTTTAAAATGGAGTCAGGTAGTTTCCTCAATATAAGAGCAGAGGAAGTTAGCCAAGTATGAGGCATGCTTGCACCCATTTCTCTCTGCTATTGACTGTCATGGATGTGACCAGCTGCCTCAAGCTCCTGCCACAGTGGTGAACTGTGACCCAGAATTGTGAGCTGAAATAATCCCTTCCTCACCTAAGTTGCTTCCTGACAGCGACAGAAACTAAAACATCCCCATCAAATAAGCTATTTCTTCTGTACTGTGGGCGATTCCATACCATGCTTATCATCCACTTGTGCAGACAACTAATGTGGGTCTTACTCTCCCTCTTCTAGGAACGTTTAGAAATGACGAGTTTGCCAAACCAGGATCATGCCTCTAAGAGAGACCCAACAGGACACAGGGCAGCTGCCGTTCTCCATGGAGGCTCTCCTGACTTTGTAGGAAATAGTAAACCCCGGGCGAACTCCTCAGTGAGGTCCAGGTAAGTCCCTCCAAATTCTCATGTGAGGGGCTAAAAGATGTGGAAGGAGAAGAATGGTTTGCAGTGAATGTGGCCCACCCAAGTGTCAGCTAGGAATCAGTCTTCCTTTCCTCCTTCCTTCCTTCCTTCCTTCCTTCCTTCCTTCCTTCCTTCTTCCTTCCTTCCTTCCTTCCTTCCTTCCTTCCTTCCTTTTGGGGGGGTGGGTTTTGTTTTTTGTCTCTTTTTTGGAGACACGATTCCTCTGTGTATCCCAAGCTGTCCTGGAACTCTCTTTGCAGACCAGGCTGGCCTTGAACTCACAGAGCTCCACCTGACTTTGCCCCTTGACTGCTGGGATTAGAGGCGTGTGACACCACTGCCCAGTCTCAGATAGAAATCTCAATACATTGTTTAGCGCTTTTGTGGCAATCTGTTAGCTAGCTGTAACACTTTCTAAGTAACTTCGTGTATTTGTTTTTGTGGTGAAGTGCTCTACCACTGAACTGTACACACCGCTTCTTCATCTTATTTGGAAGCAAATCTTACTTATAGCCCAGGCTGCTCTCAAACTTCTGATCCTCTTGCCTAAGCCTCATGCTTGGCTCTGAGTACCTAATAGAGCCAGTTACATAACCCAGACCCCTTTAGAACAGTCTATACACTTCACAATCTCACTTCCAGTATAATTTTATTTACCTTTTAATGATTTAAAGATTTTATTCATCTGAATCATCATTATCCACTCAAATTTCATATTTCATGCTGTGTGTGTTTGAGCCTGTAATTTTTTTGTGGTGGTGAGTGGGGGAGACAGATTCTCATATAACCTAGGTTGACTTCACTCACACTTGCTGTGTTGCTAGGGATGACCTTGAACTTCCAATCCTCTTACCTCTACCTTCTAAGTGCTGGGGTTACAGCATGCCTAGTTTACTGGGTCCTGGGGGTTGAATCCAGGGCCTTGTGCATGCTGGGCAAGCACTCCATCAACTGAGCTACATGGCCAGTTGTAATTAGATGCAAACACAGACAGATGTGTAGGATTTCTCCAAAGTGAGCACAGTATAGACTACCCATTCCAAAAGGTAGGAATCCCACACTATGAGATGGGCTCTGGGTTCTCTGTCACCAGAGGTCACAGAAAGAACACTACTTTATCTTCTTTCCTACTTAAAGTTCTCTCTCCATGTGTTGTGGCCCCCTGAAAACCAGAAAGGAATTTGAATGCTGAAGTTGTTAAATATTATAGGTTCTTCAGCTCACTCTAAATTAAAGTTTTATTTATTATTATTGTAGGTGTGTGTGTAGGGGTATGTGTGTGTGTTCATGCTTTGTGTGGGTGTGCATGTGCGTGCTGTGAGCCACGTTTGGAAGAGAACCACTTTGCAGGAGTCAGTTCTATCCTTCGCCAGTCCCATGCCCCATTTCATTTAGATGGGTCAGCACGTCAGAGTGGAGAGTGTAGCACAGGAAGCCTGCTCACCTCACAGCCAGGCCACAGAGGAAAGGAGGGAGGGGCGGAAGTCCTACTAGGCCCTGCCTTAGTGCCCTTAGGGGCACTACCAATTCCCACTGGCATGTGGATGCTTTTAGCACATGGGCCTTCTGGTACAGTCCAGTTCCAAACTACAACAGGCACACTTTTGGCCTTGTTGGTGGCAGGTATTAGACAGCAGTGCAATGCTGACTGGTACCTGACACATTGCCACTTGGCATGGACCGTGTGGTGACCATTGCTGCTTAACAAAGTTTCAGCATTTCAGCATTGCAGACCACACTTCTCCAGCACCTTTTTACGTTCATTTTTGATGAGTCTCACTATTAATGTCTTTCCCTTTGAGAAATTTTGTGTGGGCTTTGGCAGAAGATAAAAATGTGTACAATGGTAGCTTCTCTAAACAAAATAATTCTTTGGAAAAAATCCCTGCCACCCTGGAACTAGGAATTCCATTGTGCCCTCCTAATGACACCAAGAACAGGAAAGTTAGAGATTCACTAGGCATACCTGATCCCGAGGATGAAATGCCTACAATTCAGATCCAGAACCTGAGGCCGTTAAGGTCAAGAGTTTGGTTAATAAAACACGGAGAAATCAGAATGGTATGGTATCATGATAAAGGAGTAAGACATCAGGACTTTCCCTTTTGGGAGCATTATAAGGGGAACAGAGCTGTATAATAAGACTAGGAAATTGCAATATAACATCTGTTCCCCAGAAAAAGTCCTTTCCCAAGGTCAGGCATTTGGATAAGGGTCTCCATTCCCAAGGGGGGTTGAGGAAGTTCCTGCTTGCTAAAGCAGTCATTCTCCTTATCTCTAGCAGGAAGAACTTGTGGCCCTTTCATGAACATATGACTGGTTGGTGCCTATTGTCAAGATCAATGCTGGATTCTTTCACCCCTGATCTCAAGTCACACCCCAGCTCACATACCCCTCTTGTCCTGTTTAATCCTATGTGCAACTCTAGAGTATAAAAGTGTAATCTTTTCTCAATTAAACACTGCTGGCAGCCATCCTTATTTACCCTCAGATCATGTCCCTCTCCTCCTCCTCTCCCTCCCCCAACTTCACACATCCTCTTTGGGACCCGAACCAGCTGAAGCAGGTCTCTGGAAGCTTAGTTTTCTTGCCACGTGAGCCCTACTTAAATTTTTTTTTCACTTAGTTTTTCATTATAAACATCAAATTCTTTTTTTTTTTTTTTTAGTTTATTTATTATGTGTGAGTGCCCAGCACACGTGTGGAGGTCAGAGGACTTTGTGGAGTGGACTCTCCTTCTACCTGTCTGTGGGTTCTGGAAATTGAACTCAGGTCACCAGGCCTTTACATGCTGAGCCATCTCACTGCCCTTTTTTTTTTTTTTTTTTTTTTTTTTTTTTTTTTTTGGTGTGTGTGTGTGTGTGTGTGTAGAGGTCAAAGGACAATCATGTAGATATGCAGATTGAACTCAAGTTGTCAGGCATGATGGCAAATGCCTTTACCCACTGACCCACCTTATTGGCCCTCTTTATTTTTTTCTCAGTTATTAACTTACATTTCTAAAATTGAGTTATATTAAGTTCTCTGTCCTTTGTGAGACCCGATTGTTGGTATTTGGCTATTTTGTTTGATACTGCCTCAGCTACGAAGCAGAGCTACTAACATAAGTAATGTTTCCCCAAACTCCGAGACAGCCATAACCAGACAGACCCTAGACTGACGTCACTGTCTGCAGATATTGCTTGCTTTGTGGAGGTGGTGTCTGCCAGAGTTCAGAAGCTGCTGTCTTGTGAGTGGAGTGGGTCCTGAAAGGTCCTTCTAGCCCAGTTTTTCATGACTAAATAGTAGGCGTTGCTGATGGGCTTTTGCCTCTTTATTCCTTAATCTAGATTCTGTTGATTGGTGATGGACTGTTCAGCCTCCATAGTTGTTCTTGATGTCAGTTTCTCCTGGCTGGTATATGCCATGCTTTCTGTTTTAGTGACACTTCTCACTTTTAAAGGCATCTCTACTTTTTCTTTAGTCCCAATTATCCTCTTAGCACTTTTATTTTATGTATGTATGTATGTATGTATGTATGTATGTATGTATGTATGTGTTTATTTATTCATGTGTTTACTTATTTGTTGCAGTGCTGGGGATGACTGACACTCAAGGCCTTGTACGTACTGGGCAAGTGCTGTTCCATTAAGCTACACCCCAGACCTAGCACTGCTAATAGTTGTAAGGAGGTAGCCAATTTTTTTTTTTTTTTCAGTTCTTTGAGAATTTCATACGGTGTGTTTAACCAGCCCCCACCCCCTCCCAAATTCAATCCCCATTTCCTACCCACTCAACTTTGTGTTCTCCTTTTTTTTTCATCCATCAAGTCCAGTTTGTGTTGCTCATATGTCCTTGGATATATGGTGTTCCACTGGAGCATGGCCTACTTTACCAAGAATTAAAGTCAAAGAAAAATGCCTCCCTCTCCCAAAAGCTATCAGTTGCCAGTAGCAGCTCAGCCAGGGGTGGAACTTCATGTCACCTCCCCTTTCCATGCTGGGATTTAGTCTGGCTTGAGTTTGCATAGAGTTTGTGCTTGCTCTTGCAATCACTGTGAGTTCACGTGTGCAGTTGCCCTGTTGTATCCAGAGAATACTGTTTCCTTATATCCATCCACCACCTCTGATTTTTGAAGTCTTTCTGCCTTCTCTTCTACAGTGATCCCTGAGCCTTAGGGCTGAGCATTCCACAGTCTCTAATACTCTGTACCTCAGCCCCTTGTGGGTCTCTGTATTAATCACCATCTACTGCAAAGAGAAGCTTCTTTGATGAAGGTTGAGAAATACACTAATCTGAGTGTAGCAGTGCCAATAGGAATTGATTAATACAATGTCCATTTAGCAAAATCATAGTAGTAAGTCCAACATTAGTGTAGTCACAATGTTCACAGCTGGGCAAGATCAATGATTACTTTACCCACATGTAGTGTGCATAGCTCCTTCTAACACTCTGAAATCTAGCCAGTAGGGATGAAGCTTTTACAGGTCAGTACCAGCTTAGTATCTCCATGTTCTGTGACTCAAGTATGTGTGATGAATATTCTAAAACACCTTCAAACCTGTCAACTGAAAGATATTGGGATGACCTGGACTAAAAGGACTGTGTAGCACCATCTGGCTGGGGCAGAGCTCAAACTGAGGGCTTCTGGATTCCTCATGTGAGTCTATCATATGGTTTTGGAACTTTGTGTCCTTTTCTTTCACAAACCTCAGTGTGCTCCTGTTTGCACAAGAAGTTAAACAGAGCAACGATGTATTGATTATGTCCCAGCATTTCAAATAGGTAGGACTTGTGCGTGGTATAAGAGATCCTATGTGGGAAGAGGTCAAGGAAGGCACAAGTTGCAGATTTGGAAGCTGAGACACTGGATTATGACTGAGCAGTTTTGTATCTGGGAGCAAGTTAGAGATGTCCAAACAGGACAAAGAGCTAGTGAGATAAGAGGGATGTAGGACTAGTGAAACCCTAGTAGGTAACCATGCCAGCAAACAAAGTCAAAGGACCACAGGAAAATAAAACTGAATTTGAGAGCAGAGGAAGGCGATGTTGGTAAATTGTGGCTGCAGTGGTATGGTGGCTGGAGTAAAGACAGCAAGAGCAGTAGTTTGAATATGAAGAGCCAAGATAAGTGTGTGACGAGTGCAGCCTGAGGGGGCAGGGTGGGAATGAGAGGAATGGATTGAACATTCAGGATAGAAGAACTAGCTGATAGACCAAGACATTGTCTACAGTCTGTTCTCAGTGTGGACGGCTGCCAGCACCAGCTTTCTTTATGGGATCATGGATTTCCCTTTGTGCTCCTTGTTTTCAGCAAAAGTAAATGTCACAGGTTGTGCTTAACCTAAGAGATCCTCTTTCGAGATCTGCAGACATGATCAATGTTTTTAATGAGTGTCCAAGCATTTACAAGCTCTCGCCTTCCCTGCTTGTTAATTATTTTTGCATTCTAGTCTCTCAGCTTGTGCTCCCCGTCCATGGTAGAGGAAGGAAAAGAAAAGGTGACAGGAGAGCATGGGAGGAAACAAAAAAATAGAGAGCTTAGTATTTTGGGACAGTCATGGAGGGGAATGAGAGGGAGTGTCTATCAAAAACAGCAAGAGAAGGAGACCCAGACTGATAGGACTCTGGGCCCCTGGGCTCTGTGAGGGACGAACTTAAACTGCTACATCCAGATGAGCTTCCTGCAGTGATGGACAGCCAGCGAAACCAACTTTCTATGATGATGAATGTTCCATCTCTACTGCCAGTACAGTAGCCGCCAGCCCCAGGTGGTGATTAAAGACACAAGAACTTAACTTCTTTTATTATTTTTTCATGTGTGGTATGTGTGGGTGTGCCGTGTGCTTGTGTGGAGGTCAACTTTATAGAGTTGGTTTTCTCCTTCCATGTTCCAGGGATCAAACTCAGGTCATCAGGCTTTTGAGATGAGCATCTTTACCCACTGAGCCATCTTGCCAGTCAAAATCTGAACTTTAATTTCACCTTGAATGGAGTTTATGGCATTCCTGTATAAAAGGGAACAGTGGGAGGTGGCAGTAGTTTCCCCATTAGAGCCTTCAACTCTGTCACCAACGGACACTGAGACTGCACTGAATGGCCTAATAATTAGGAGGGATGGAAGGGCAAGAATTTCCTGTGTGAATTGTAAGTTAAAGGAAAAAAACATTGTCCAAATTTATTTTTAAGGCGAGAACGTCAGTATTCTGTCTGTAGTGGCGAAGCCTCTCCGGGCTCGTGTGAAATCCTGTATTTCTGTGTGGGTAGCCCTGATCAGCTCATGGTACACAAAGGGAAATGTGTTGGTGAGTAAACTAGCCAAGTTCATTACGTTTGTTTAGTGACAAAAGTTAATCCTGAGGTAACAGAGCACACTAGAGACTGGCATCTAAGCCAGCATAGTCCAAGGGGGAACCCCTCCCTAACAGGGAGCTGCAGTTCTGGCTCCCGTCCCTCATGCCTAGGGTGAGCAGCTACTCAGCTCCTCTAATGTAGCATGGAAATAAAACCATCTCTTGGAAATGTACAGTGGGCAGATAGTCCTAAATGTTGCATCATGGCATCTGGTACTGGTAAGACGTATAAACAAAATGAGCCCTGATGCTTGTGATCTTTAATAACCAAATCACTGTTTTTTCCTTTGTGTTGCTGGGGATTGAACCAAGATCCTTGTGCATGCTGAGCCAGTACTCAACCACTGAGTCACATCCTGACCACCACATCTCTTCATCTCAAGCTACTATCCATCTGCCTGGAATTTTCCTATATGGCACATTGT